GCACGAAAAGTGCAAAAACGCATAATCGCACCGGCCCGCCTGGTGCGTTCCAGCCTGGGTTGTACTTATCTGTGCATAGTCGGTGCTTTGCACTGATATTCTCCATGCAGGCTTTTTTTTTTGTCTTAATGGAAAAATCGATGTTTCAGGACCAGAAATTATGAGCAAATTGGCTGGTGAATCGGAATCGAATCTACGCAAAGCATTCGAAGAATGTGAGAAGAATTCACCAGCAATTTTATTCATCGATGAACTTGATGCAATTGCACCAAAACGTGAAAAGGTGCCTATTCCATTTTGGGTTATTCACGAGTCAGAGATCTTAAATATGGGAAGAATAAAATATTTACCGGGAGAAAAATTATGTTCGAGAAAGCATACAGGGAAATTTCATTACTCCAGAGCATCGCATGGTTGATTTAGGCACATGAGTTTGTAGGTTAAGAAAGAAAGTGACCGAGAGCTCAAAATCCCTTTTTTGAGGCATTTTTTGTATTGTTCTAAATATGAGAATCAGGTTAGTAGATGGCAAGGACGCCAGAAACCAACAAAATCTTATGGTTCTTTCAATCAGAATTTGAATTTTCTTCACTTGGAATAGTTTTTCTTGGGCATTTTCTATATTCCTCCTATCTTTTGATGTACCTTCTTTTCTTTTACATCCTCTTTTTTCTCCCGTACTTCGTCCATTTCGCTGTTATCTTTCCCTCGAAAGTCCTAAACCTTTCCGTTTTTCACCCACTGTGAGTCCCTGAAAGGCGAGAGGAATCAGAATTTGCTTGATTGATAGCATGAGGGTCGCTTAAAAGCAAGTTTATAGAGAATTTGGTCCCCTGGCTCTTCAGCACAATAGCAACGCCACTTCCCACTACATTGTAGGCGCAGGCAGCCTCTTTCATAAATTTCCTTTTTATTTTTCTTTTTTCGTTTAAATACTCTCTGTGCAATACGATACGGCATTATTTATTAAACACGAATTGCAATACATAAAAAGGTATATGGAAATGGGAAGGAAAAACGAAGAGAAAATTAAAAAATAAGGATTAAGAAATTATTTGAAATAGTGAAATTATTTTGATAAAATCATTATAATTGGTAAGAAATGTTTCGGTCCATTAAGCCACACATGCCATGCATTTGATTTAAAAAAAAAGGTACTTTTTTTGTTCCATTAGTTCTCACGGTGTGTTTTAGACTCATGGTGAAGTTGAGCGCCGTATCGTTTCGCAACTGCTCACGCTCATGGATGGCTTAAAACAACGTAGCCATGTTGTTGTGATGGCAGCAACAAATCGGCCGAACTCAATCGATCCAGCACTGCGTCGTTTCGGCCGTTTTGATCGTGAAATCGATATCGGAATTCCGGATGCAACCGGAAGATTGGAAATCCTTCGTATTCATACAAAAAATATGCGGCTTGGTGATGATGTTGACTTGGAACAGGTGAGAGCGTACACCAAATTTCTTTTTCCCCCTCCCTCTCCTACTCCCCCCTCTCCCCTTTCCCCAGGAGACTGCCCTGAATCCGCTTATGTCTGTTACAGCCGGAGGTGCTGGGAAATAGCCCCAGTGCTGGCACATATCAGCTGCAACTACCCTTCCCCCCTGTACAACTCGTTCACTCGTTTTGATGGTAAATTGATACAGACGCGTTTCGGCAAATTAAAACACCATCAGCTTGCTTCTAAATAACCTTTAGATGCAAATGATATGGCTGGCATTCTTGACAGTGGGTAGTTACAGTTGATACGTGCTACCACTGGGGCCATCCTACAGCCACTTAGGCCTCCGGTTGCGCAAGTCCTCCGATCGTTACACGACGATAGCTATTCTGATATTTTAATTGCAGATCCATTTTCAGTTCAGTACAGGCGATTGCTAGGATTTGTAGTGATTAATAAACAGTGGTGGATTTAGCTTCTTCCGGTTGTTTTTGTTATTACAGCGAGGTATAAGAAGGTATTGCTGTGAGTTTTGCGCAGCAATATTGATACAAACCTCGTAGAAAATTGAAATGCATTGCGAACAGAACAGATACACAGATTCTCTT